AGGATCTTGTCCTGTGATTACTATATCATCAACATATACAAGAGCATAGACATAACTACCATTTGCATGATGTACAAACAAGGATGAGTCTGCTCGAGATACTATAAACCCCATTTGTAATAGATTATCCTTAAGTTTAGAATGTCAATTACGAGGTGCCTGTTGAAGACCATAAAGCGCCTTTTTGAGCTTACACACAAGGGGTTGATCAAGTTCATCATGTTGCTCAAATCCAGGAGGTTGTTGCATGTACACCTCCTCACATAAAATCTCCATTGAGGAAAGCATTATTGATATCAACATGTCTGATTTTCCATCCACTAGAGAATACTATAGCTAGTATTGTGTTGAATGTTGAAAATCGAACTACAGGATTGAAAGTGTCCTTGAAATCCTTGCCTGGAACCTGTGAGAACCCTTTGGCTACCAAACGTGCTTTATACCTATTTATTGATCTATCAGGGTTATGCTTAACACAGAAAAGTCATTTACACCCTATAGCCATTATATTTTTAGGAAGTTTAACTAATGTCCATGTGCCATTACTGATCAATGCATTATATTCATCGTGTACTGCTGCAGCCCAGTGAGGGGATTGAAGAGCAGCACGAATTGTAATGAAAACCTCATCATCCAAGATAGTTGAATACACCATAGGTTTGAAAATGCCACAATGATTGTGTGTCATCATATGATGAACACGAGTTTGGAGAGTATTATCAATAGGTTCAGAGGGTTCAAGAATATTAGAGGGTTCAAGAACATTAACAACTGGCTCAGAAACATTACCTTGTATATCATCACTTGGTGTGCTGCCATCATCTGTATCCATACCAACACCTCCATCAGATGCAGTTTCTTCTGACTCAGTAGTATCAGAGGTATGTTGCAATATATCTTCAGGAATATGCTGAGATCTATTGTTGTTCATCTCAACCTCATTAGGAACCACTGCACCATCATCTCCTTAATGTACTGCAGTTGTATTAGGTACTTGATATGGAGATTGAGAGCATGAGTTTTTGGCTGTTGTGACAATTCGAAGTGACTGAGTATTCGAACTGGAGTTGATTGCTAAATTCAATGAATCACTGTTATTTTTCCCTGAAAATGAAAAGACAGATTCGTTAAACACAACATGGCGAGAAACATATACTCATCCATCAGATGCCAAACATTGGAACCCCTTGTGCTAAGGGCTAACTCCGAGGTAAGTGTACACTTGAGATCTGAAGGACAATTTGTGCTTTTGGAACATCCTCAGGCGAGGAAAACACTGGCAGCCAAAAATCTTCATCATAGAGTACTCAGGTTTCTTCCCAAAGAGTTTTTCAAACGGTGAAGCATTTTATAATACTTTGGTAAGCAGTCGATTAATTAGATATACTGCAGAAGTAATTACATATGACCAATACTTGATTGGTAAAGAGGCTTGAGCTAACAACACTAATGCCAGCTCGATAATGTGACGATGTTTTCTCTCTACTACACCATTTTACTAAGAGGTATCTGGATATGTAAGCCTGTGCACAATGCCATCTTGAGCCAGTAAAGGTGAAACACTAAGAAACTCACCACCCCAGTCTGTCTTTAGTGCTTTGATAGTGCTGCCAAATTGATTAGCTACAAGTTTCTGAAATAATTGGAATGCTAGGTACGCTTCATCTTTATGTTTCAAGAGATAAATCCAGGTATGACGTGTAAATGCATCCACAAAGGAGATGTAAAACTTAAATCCATTTGAAGACATATGTGGAGGTCCCCATAAGTCTGAGTATACAAGTTCAAACGAGGAAACTACTATTGTATTCGATTCATTAAAAGGTAGTTTGTGGCTTTTGCCCAAATGACATGCAACCTATTCTATATTTACATGAGGATGAACTTTAAAACCTAGTTCAGAAGCTATTCTTGATAAAGTCTCAGCTGTTGGATGACCAAGTCTTCGATGCCATAGCTCATCCAATGGAGTTGATTCCAATTTGGCATTTGCTTGTGCTACATGAACTTGTAGAGGTTCATTATTAATAGCAAATGAATATAAACCATCAGTCTCATCTCCTTGAAGCAATAATCTTCTAGAAACTTCATCTCGAACGCAACATCGATTGGCATGAAATTCAATGAAAACGTCGTTATCCCTAGCAAGCTTCGAAACCGAAAGTAGATTCTTTGTTATTGTGGCACATGCAGCAAATCATTCAAGAAAAGTACACGTAAGGAAGAATTTACAATAGCATGGCCAACTAAGGCAACATCATGAGGCATACAATTCCCAATTAAAAGCTTACCTAGACCACGATACTTAGAGGAGTTCAACACCTTATTAGCATCAGTAGTAACATGATGTGTGGCTCCTGTATCAACCACCCAGCGCTCAGATTCCATAGCAGCAGCATGAGCTTGTGGCTGATCACCTATAACTGAAACATTTCTTTTCTTGGCACAACACTCACAGGCGTCATCAGTGGGTCAAATTGTAAAGCTACCAGAAGAAAGGGTAGCTTTGTATTCAGATGGATATTGGCCTTGTTGAGAAGAAGGAACACATGAGAAGTCTTTATCATATATATGCGAACATCGATCAACCAGATGTCCAATCTTTCCACAGAGTTGGCACTGAACCCTGGACATGTCTCTACCACTGATTCAATAGTTATAAGAATAACCAGACCTCTGATTAGAGCTATTGGTCACCATTGAAGTATTTCTTACTTCACCCTGTGCAACATTTACAGCCATAGGCAATGTTTCAGGTTGATCATCAAAACTAGCTAGTTGCGTTTCTGCGTCAATTAGCATAGTGGAGATGTTGTCTAACGATAGAGTGTCCCTCATGGATGTGATGATTGCCATGAAAAGGCTGGTATTCTCGAGGAATCCCTTTAAAAATGGTGGCTATTTTTTTAACTTGAGAAACGATACCACCACAAGAGGCTAGAGCATCGCATACCTCCTTTACACGCGTAAGGTAAGCTCGCATGTTGTCACATCATTTCTTTAAGGATTAAAGTTTGTAGTGAAGGCTCATAAATGCTTTTGTTGAACGGTTAGCAAAGAAATGAAGGACTGTGTTCCAAACAGTTGTTGTCGTTTCAATGCCTACAAATTGAGAGAGAAGATGTGGGCTGATTATGGACAGTAACCATGAGGCTAGAGCATTGTCTTGAGCCACAAAGTCTTCATATTCGTCAGTAACACGAACTGTGCCATCATCATCAACCACTGTCTCCGGCGGAGTCGCCCCTGCTCCAGTAAGCAACCATTCCAGCCGATGAATTCTGATGGTGAGCAGAATCTGCTGTTTCCAAAGAAGGAAATTCATTTAAATCTACAACTACATTTACCTTCTTGTTGGTAAATGATTTTGAACCCATGGTGATTTCCATCAAGAACAGCTCAAGCAGCAGAAGTCGATCTTGAAACCCCAAGATCAATGGCGAATGATACCATATTAGGAAGTTGGTAAAATGCAACAATTATTATTGAAGCAATGCACACTGGTTACAACGCAAGGAAGGTAATTATATACAACACACGCAGCTCGTAACCATACTACAACAGAATAACAAATTCTAACAGCTCAGTAACTTCTTATCTTCCTCTTAGCAGCTATTGTCAACGTGGCTCCTCTTAACAGCTATTGCCAACGTGGCATGGCAAGCAGGACTTGCTTTTCTCATTCTGCTAATAGTTAGCATTCATTGCTACAACACTAGTATTGTAGCTCTAGATGACTAGCGGTTCATAAAGAGAAACTCCCATGTCAATCAACAAAGCTTTCAACCAAACAACTTCAGACACAAAATTTGCTATACCACAATATTCAGTTTTTTATTGTGGACCGAGAAACAGACCTTTGGCATTTAGAACTTCATGTAACCAGATTACCTTGAAAATATACATAAAAACCTAAAACGAACCTTCTGTAAATGTTGTCATTATAGGTGTTACACCGGACGCTTTGAAGAGAAGAGTATAATCTAATATCCCTTCTAAATAGCGAATAATTCGTTTGATAGCTGTCTAATGAAGTTCACAGGGTTGATGGATATATTGTGCTACTCGGTTAACGTTAAAGGCTAAATTTGAGTGAGTATGATTCAGATACAATAAAGCACCAACCACGCTGCGATAAGTTTGAGTATCAACGTGAAGACTATTGGTATTTTCACGGAGTTTTGGGGAGACAAGCATAGGCGTTGGTGCTGCCTTGGCACCCATCAAATTTATTTTCTCAACCAATTCACATATATATTTTCTTTGATCGAGAATCAGAGTATCAGTAGAACGTCGAACATCTAATCCAAAAAACTAAGAAAGGGATCCCAAGTATTTCAAAGAAAATTCGTGCGCTAAATTCTATTACTAAATTCTAGTTTAAACCTCTAAATTTTTTAAAGTTTCAAGTTTACCCCAAATTCTATTACCAAGTTCTATCACTGATTAGATCGATATACTAATATGAATTAATCGTATTATAAAAAATTACGTGAGTTTATCGATATTTACTGGGTGAGTTTAAAATGGTTGGTGCAAATATTTAAATAAAATATTTATTTTGAAGTTTTGTAAATAGAATATAAGATTAAGAAAGTGTTTTATATTTAAATATAACAAAAACAAATGTTACCATCGAATATAAAAATAAAAGTTTGGTGGGCTCGGATAAGAGCAAGACACATTCGGCTTAACTTTGTAAAAAGATAAAAACAAAGATTAATAGTAAAACAAAAATACCCAGGGGGTGAGTGACGTGTGGAACTGTCCAAGTGTACAAAATGCACGTGGAGGATTTGGGATACAATAGTCATTTTAGTTGAAGAGGTGCTTTCCTTGTTCGAACCATCGCCGGTTTGTATTTCTCAATATAAAACCATTAATCTTCTTAATACATTAGGAAATGTTGTTACTAATATAAGAACCTTCAAAATTAATAGCATTATATTTGGTCGTGGATTTCTATGGTAAGACGAAAACGTAAAGCTAAGGGGAAATTAAAAATATCTCCATTCCTCTGCCTCTTATCTCTCTATTGTGCTATCCCGTCAGCTTCTCTCGTTGAGAAAGACGGGAAAAAGTGAAGGGACTGAGAGGGTTCAGGCGGTGGCGCACGGCAGCACCGGGCCCTCTTATTATACGCTCTGGTTTATTTTCTGTTCTATCCTTTTTGACCGCTGGCGGAACTGAAATGAACCCAATCGTGCTTCCAATCACCCCTCTCTCTAATATTGGCAGATTGGCGCGGCTTTGAATCTGAAAAAATAAGGTAGCGGAGGAGAGGGATTTATAGTATTAAGATGCTTTGGGTAATACGGTTCTCTGGATTCTTTTCAGCTGCAATGGTGATGATTGTTCTCTCTCCTTCACTCCAGTCGTTTCCTCCAGCAGAAGCCATTAGATCCTCTCGCCTCGATAGTTACCTCCGGTTACCTTCATTTCAGGTCTCCACGTCACCGGGCTCACTGGACGATCGGTTCACTTTCCGGAAGGCCTCCGAATTTCGCAATGTCGACGAATGTGGCTTCGGCGACCCCCAAACCACTGGCGTCTGTGATCCTTCTTTGGTACACGTGGCTATAACCCTCGATGTTCAGTACCTCCGCGGATCAATCGCCGCCGTTCACTCAATTCTCCAGCATTCATTATGTCCAGAGAATATTTTCTTCCATTTCCTCGTCTCGGAGGCCGATTTGGAAACCCTAGTTCGATCCACTTTCCCTCAATTGAAGTTCAAGGTTTATTTTTTCGATCCCGAGATTGTACGCAACTTGATATCATCTTCGGTTAGGCAAGCGCTTGAAGAGCCGTTAAATTATGCTAGGAATTACTTGGCGGATCTGCTAGAGCCGTGCGTGCGGAGAGTGATTTATTTGGACTCTGATCTCGTCGTCGTTGACGATATCTCTAAGCTGTGGAGCACCAATCTGGGTTCACGAACAATCGGAGCACCGGAATACTGCCATGCCAACTTCACAAAATATTTTACAACCAGTTTCTGGTCGGACGATCGGTTTTCAGGGACTTTCAGGGGAAGGAAACCGTGCTATTTCAACACGGGAGTGATGGTCATAGATCTGGGGAAATGGAGACGTGTCGGGTTCACTAAGCGGATCGAAAGGTGGATGGAGATCCAGAAAAGTGACCGGATCTACAAGCTGGGTTCTTTGCCGCCGTTCTTGCTTGTTTTTGCCGGCCGAGTGGCACCGATTGGGCATAGATGGAACCAACACGGTTTGGGTGGTGACAATGTGAGGGGAAGTTGTCGAGACTTGCATTCGGGTCCTGTTAGCCTCTTGCATTGGTCCGGTAGCGGTAAGCCATGGCTTAGGCTTGATTCCAAAAAGCCGTGCCCGCTCGACGCATTATGGGCACCCTATGACTTGTACGGCCACCCACATTGAAGCCCAGCCGAGTTTTAGTCGCCGGTAAATTCCCACTTTTCAATTTGTCATTTCATCTACATTATTTTTGTGTCTTTTTCACTGTGATATGATTGATCACCTTTATTGTTAACTCATTTATCAATCAATTTTGTATTCTATTTTTCCTGCCTCTGAATTTAATTAAAACCAAAAGGCAAAAAAATAGAGTAGATATTGAACTTGTTACAGTCTGCATAAGGGGAATTTCTCATGGAATTGTGCTTAGATTTGGTGCGGTAGTTTTAGAGTTTGAGTTGCATTCCAATGGTGGAAAAAAGGCGTTTGATTTTTTTTTTTATTATATCCAGTTGATTGTTGATTTTCCAATGGTGGAGAAGTAATTATAGGCATTGGGAATGAACTATTGGATAAAGCCTGTTGCCTGCTTGTAGAATTTTCATGTTGGTGGCAGCGGCGGGAGCCTTGTGTGCTACCGACCCTGCCCACACTGTTCCTTTGCGCTCTTAGGTGGCAATCTAATGTTCCCCCTTTAGCCTCGGATTCTTGTGTTTTTATTTTATTTTATTATTTTATCCAGCAAATAAATGAGGGGTTTGTTTAAAAGAAGCTCATTAACTTAACATGGTGGCATCACCCGTATCACTGTTGTGTAGGAAAGGGAAACGTGGCCACCTGGTTTCGATCTTTGTAGAAGCAACCCAGTCATCTTACGAGTTGTTTAGAACCCTATGATTTTGATCCTTTCGTCTCCAATTTTAATTTTGTAGCTTAACTGGATACGTGGCATCATTGGGCTGCTTTTGCTTCCAACCATGTCTTTGCTATATCTATAATTTAATTAATTTAAAAAATTAGAATTTGATTTAATTGATTAATTAAAATCTGAGGTGGACACAGAAACTGATGCTGCTTTTGACCTCAATTATTCTATTCATTACCTAATCCCGTTGGTTTTAATCATTTGGTGAGGTTATGTGATTCTGGAAGCAGAGTTGGGCCTGGCCGCCGGCCGGTGAAAGCTATTACTTTTATGCATGCCTGTAAGATTAGACGTGGATGCGGACTAACTTTTTTTTAGGTCATATTCATTAGAATGTGTGTGGAGCTGAAGCCGGTCCCAGGAAGCCACCACCACCCACCGACATCCATTGGTCTCTGATGTTAATTTTGCTGTCTTAACTGCGCGAAAATTTTGGGTTTTCACCAGAAAAAGAGAGCTCCAACTTCTTCTACATGTCGATTTCGTTTATGGGGATTGGGCGTCATGGAATTATACAAAGGTGCCAAGCATCTTAAGTAGTGTGCGGATGTATCTGCAGGGATGCGACACGAAATTATTTATTGACATTGTCTGAGAAACCTCCAAATTTACAAGTATCTCTTATTCCATGTGCACATGAACACATCGTTTCTGAGTGTTGACAGCGATTTTCATGGCTGCCGGTTCTTGCTGTTACCAGGTCTAGCATTTAAAATCATTTAAAGTTTATCTAGTTACGTGAAAGAGGACAAAATAATTTGGGTCTGATAAAAGGCTTCTATTCTCTCGCCAAAAAAAGGGATCAAAAGCAGATAGACATGTTTGGCTTCTGGTTCTAGAATAACTCCACTGTGGCATGTGAGGGGAAAAAGACCACAAAAAAGGAATAAAAGATGGATTTAAAATGAGTGTCCAAGGCCCTGAGAATCTTTACAGCTAGAAATAGAAAATGGGTTAAAAACGGGGACCATAAAAAATCATTGGTTCACCACCTTCTTCCACTGGTACAAACAATTACAAGCTTCCCTGCCTATTCTTGAATCAAAATGCTATTGCTGAATTAAACTAGACCTACCGTAGCATGTTTTCTACTCTCCAAAGCGATGATCAGGATCACTTGATTTTTCTTGAATCGTATGGAGTGATTGACATTCTATATATTCTCTATAGATACAGTTACTCGAACTCAAATTTTTTAAAAAATAACATTTATTTTTAACATTGAGAACACTCAACGGACTCACTTCAAAATTTCTGATCAAAGAAATCTAGCTGATTTTAATGGGGTTTTCGGCCTCAATTTATTGAATCATAATATTTGCATAGATGTTCAGAGAATAGAAAGCTAAAGCCACGAGGTCGTCTCTTGTTGGGATACGCCTTGCATTATTATTTTTCACGTTGAGTCAATGTGCCATAAAAATATTCGTTGATGCCTGTTTCATGTGGATTCAAGGAGTTCCTGAGGTCAGTGGAGCCATTGAAAATGCAATAAAAACAGAATATAAGACAAGGGGCAGAGTGGATTCTGGTGGGCAAGCATACAATGAGAAAGAAAGCTTATAATAGGATAAAAGAGAATAAGTGGCGGTCGAGCTTTATCATTAAACAAGGGTGTGGGGCTTCACAACAAAAATTCTTTGGGGACTCAAAAAGTTCTCTCACCGGTGAAACCCTGAATGGATCATCATATATGTTCATTGAATAAGGATCATCCACAATGCTGTATTCTACAAGTTAAAACCGGAATTGCATGGAGCACATTGTTTGATTGAGAGCCAAAGGATTGTGAATGAGACCACGGTCTGGGTGGTGGATTAAATGGCCCTTCCCATTCATGGCTCTGCTTTCTTGCTTTGATCGGAACTTGGCAATTTCTAAAAATACATAATATCCCCCATACACTATTTTGTATGAACTTCCAGTGTGTCAATCCACTTCTCTCTGTCTGGTTAAGAACCCTTAAAATGGTTTTGCATTTGAATGTTAAACTGATAAAAAGCTTTAAACAAATGCGAAAGGAGTAATTCGAGTGAATTAGTAATGTTTAAAATACTATTTACGTGTTCATGAGATCTTAATAGACATGGAAAGGATTAAAGATCGCTTATAGAATTATTTATTTTATTCCACTGCTGCATCAAATATTAATTTGATAATACAAAACCTTTCTTCCGAGTCATATAATGTACTATCTCGTGGCCTGATGGACATAGAGACCGAGTAAATCAAGACACCTACATTATTGGGACAAAAAGGCCCGTGCATGCTAAAGAAAAAAGGGGTGAAAAGGCCCATATTTTGAAACGGGCCCCTCGTCTCCTTTTGTTCGGTCTCGTTTTCTAATCTGAACTATAAAAATGCCAAATCACGAAGCATTTCTATTTTATTCATTTTTGTATGCTTTCAATTGGAGTATTATCTTATGAATATGACGTACTTCTTAATAATTGGTAATGGCAGAAGTAATTTAAACTCTAGATGCTAACTGAAAATTCTTTAAGCAAATAATACACAAAATTAATAAAGTTGCAACTTTCAAAAATTATAGTTCCACGACATAATAAACTTGGTCGCCTTTTTGTTTTTATTGAATTTGAACTAGTAAAACCAGCTCTTTAAAATAACTAAAGAAAAATGTAGCAGAAGCTGAAAAGAAAAGAGTGCAAAGACCAGTTCTTTCCCAAGTTGCAGTGAAGTAGAAAAACGAAACATAGCCGGCTCTCCACAATCCATTCTCCATTTCATTATCTTTAAACCCATTTTCTCACTCATTCAAACCACTCTCTCTCAAAACTATATCAACCATGCCTGTGATTCACAAACTGCATCCCATCATCATCTTCCGCTTAGTTTTGCTTTCTCTTTCTCTCTTCAACACTTCACTTTCTCAACCCCAAGTCCCTCCGCCAGCCCCGGCGCCGGCCTCCGACTCATGCAACGGCGTATTCTTATCGTACACGTACAACTCAGGCCGTGCCATCCCTCCAACCGACCCTACCAACCAAGCGTACCGTTTCGAGTCCACTTTAAGAGTTGTCAACAACGGACGTCACGAGCTCAAGTCTTGGAGAGCGTTTGTGGGGTTTAGCCACAGGGAACTTTTGGTCTCTGCTTCTAACGCTGTTTTGGCAGATGGGAATTCGCTCCCTGCTGAGGTCAGCAACGGTGCCGTTTTCCCCGGGTTCCCCGCGAGTTACCTTAAATCGGCAGTAGAGACCGCCGGGGATACGACGCAAATGGAGGTTAGCGTCGGGTTGGTGGGTACACAGTTCGGTGTCGGAGCTCCGGATGTTCCCATGCCGCTTAACATTAGTCTTGTTAATGATGGGTATACTCGTGTTAACGCCTCCAATCAAGGTTTAATTAATTTTTTTGTTATTAATTGATCTGTTGAAAACTAATTTGGCTCACAGTCTATAATTTATTAGTAGAAACAGAGGAAAATTTGATGTTTTTAAATTAATAATTGAAAATGATCATTTTGCAGCTTTACGTATAGTAGAAAAGTCCATATTGCATGAATATACTTCAACTTTGACCAGGTAATACCTAATTTGTTATTGGAATTCATATTCTTTTATATGTCTAGGAATGGTAACGCCTTGGATTCAGTTTGATTTTTAGTCGCTCAAATTCATTTCAAAACTGAAAATTTTCTATCCACATTAAATTGACCTGAGTTTCATCATACTCAAAACCTGATCTGGTTTTTAACCAATATCTAACCCGGCTTAAATATATATAGGATTCATTTTTATTGGATAAAATAAAGTTTTAATTAAAAAAACAAAATAAAAGAAATATTATTGTAAGTATTTTTAAATATATAAAGACACATTATAATATTATATCAAGTTAGATCAAATTTTTTTCACCCTAAACTTAATCTAATCCAATTTGTCTTATTACCTTAAAAGACCCGATTCGATTTGAACCCAAAGTTATTAAATAAAAATCTAACCGACCAAATTGAGTTAGATCAAAACTGCAAGTCCGAGTAAAATTGTCATCCCTAGACAAATCTAATGAAATTATTTGTAGCATTTGTTGTATCGGAAAATTTGATGTGTAATCCATTGATATCATTTGCCAATATTTTTTTAGCTATGTAATGGGAAGTTCTGTTGTACACCAATCTACTTTAAGGAAGGAATGATAAGGAATGGACGCAACTGAAATTGTTATAAAAAACATAACATTTTCGATTGTCAAACGAAAATGTTATGAAGAAGATGTGCAACCGAAAAAAATTAATATTTTAAGTTGTACTCAACCGAAAATGTTAAATTTTTTATAACATTTTTGGTTACACCCTTTCCTATTGCTCAACTTTAAATTAGACTACCATCTCTATGTTTCCCTAAGTGCAATTCTGTTCGTTGACAATACAATTTTGTGGTTCTCCTTTTTCCACTAGGGAACCGTGTGATGCACGTATGCTGCATTATTCAAGATACAAACTCAAACGTTGGGGTAAACGAAGAATTCTTGCCCAGGCAAGAAGGTGATCTTATAATAAGGTACGATGTGATTAGGGCGTATGATGATAATTACTGGGCACAGGTTTCGATCTCGAACCATGACCCTCTCAGTCGCTTGGACAACTGGCATTTGAGCTTTGATTGGATGAGGGAGGAATTCATTTACATCATCAGAGGAGCTTACCCTTATGTTGTTGATACAACATACTGTGTTTTTGGAAGGCAAGGTCAACACTACCAAGGCATGGATTTTCGCAGGTTTTGAATTGTCAGAGAAGGCCTACCATTATCGACCTACCTACGAGTTACGACAATGGCCAATGACTCGAATCTCGGACGAATCCCCTTCTGCTGTCAAAACGGGACGATTCTTCCTCCTTTAATGGATCCAAGCAGGTCTAAATCATCTTTCCAAATGCAAGTCTACAAAATGCCACCAGACTTGAATGGAACAGAACAAGCTCCACCTCAGAATTGGAAGATCAATGGCACTATGAATCCGGATTATGAATGTGCGTCTCCTATTCGAGTTAGCCCGAGTCAATTCCCTGATCCAAGTGGTTTACCTTCGGAAACAGCAGCAGTTGCTAGTTGGCAAGTAGTCTGCAATATAACACAGTCCAGGCAGGCAGTTCCAAGATGTTGTGTTTCGTACTCGGCATTTTTCAATGATTCTGCTATCCCATGCAATACATATGCCTGTGGCTGCAACCGCAACCCAAGCCAAACCTGCAGTGCTTCAGAGCCGGCTCTACTTCTTCGACCCGATACTCTTCTCATACCTTTCGAGAACAGAACTGCTGAAGCTTTGGGGTGGGCTGATATAAAACGACAAACAGTTCCGAATCTCTTGCCGTGTGGAGATAATTGTGGGGTTAGCATAAACTGGCATGTATTATCCGATTTCAAATATGGTTGGAGTGCAAGGATCACTATTTTTAACTGGGGTGAATCTAGCTTTGAAGATTGGTTCACGGCCGTTCAATTGGATAACGCCGTGCCAGGCTTCGAAGCAGTCTACACCTTCAATGGAAGCGTGCTGCAAGGCTCCAACAACACAATATCCATGCAAGGCCGTCCAGGATTGAATTATCTTCTAGCGGAGACAGACGGTTCCAATCCAAGAAAGGATTCCCGTGTTCCCGGAACTCAACAATCGGTAATCTCATTCAAGAAGAAGTCTACACTGGGCATTCAAGTGGCAACCCGGGATGGGTTTCCAACAAAAGTGTTGTTCAACGGAGATGAATGTGCACTTCCCACTATACTTCCTAGCAAAGCTCCCATGATCAGTGCAGCAAGCAGCATTGTTGGCTTTCTAACACTTGCTATGCTATTGCTAATGTAATACTGATAAGCTTTTGGATTGCTTGCCTTTAACTTCTCATAACTAATGTTTTTAAGCTGCACTACTCCGTATATTCAATTATTCATCCATTTGTTTGCAGTATAATGTAAAATGAGAAGATAATTGATATGCCAATTGGCAAGCAATATTCCATAATACCAAAAGAAAATTGAAATTGCAGAAATGAGAAGAACAAATCATAATGTCCAGAGCTTCCAAAGTCAGTAAAAAGTTCGAAATCGAAAACCCAAATCAATTCCTATGCTAAACTAGCTTCTTGTTAAGCTGAATAAACAACAAAATGCACCTATGAAAGAAAACATTAATCTAACTTTGTGTCAAACCAAAACAATTAGAACTGCACGAGAGGTATCCAGCCATGTTAGATTGAAGTCCAGCAAGTGCAACAACCTCCTGCTGCTGCAAATAACATATAGTCAAAAACTTTGAATCAATAACCGTAACCATAACCCAGCGGATAAAATACACTACATAGTCCGTTTTAGGGATCGTCAACTTACTTATTCTGTGAGTTTTAGCTACGATTTGATCAGATTCAATCAGGTTCTTAATCGTAAAAAATGACTAATAGTCATAAATTAGTTACTAGTTTAAGCTAACCTATTCAAAAGGTGCGCGAAAGAAGTCCACATACCAAAAAACGAGGGTTCATAGATCATCTCATCAGCAGTTGAAAAAGGGTTCGGAAGCTCCATAACATTTCCTGCACTACCGTGAAGATTTTCTTCATTTGAGATGGCAACACCATCACCAGGAGGGAAATCGTTACAGTATAACAAGTTCGGCTGAGAGAAATTGTACAAGGAGGCATCTGTTTGGACAGAGCGACTTGAATCTGAAACAAGATTCGGGTCAAACATATTGCCCCCTCTATTGACATGACTTGGAACTGCACTTAAAACATTTGCATTCGCGAGATTTTGCTGTGGAAGTTGATATGTAGCAGTGGGTGTGGGTTGGATCTGTTGGTTGGCATTGAGATCTCTGTTACTAGCAGATCGTGCACTTTCTCTCTTCAGGTGCATGCGGTATTTCTGCAAGATTTTTCATTTAACAGGTAAATATATTCCTTAAGAGTGCATATAGAATATGTTAATAAATTGCACCTGAAGGTGGCTGGCAATATTTGCTCTTGTAAGATAAGTAATATTCATAGCTTGCATACGCTCCAAAATTTTCCTAGGAATGTCATCTGCAAAAACAAGGCCAGATATTAAAAACAAAGCATTTTGCATAGGAAAACTCTATAGGGCTAGAATAGTTCATACTGCCAGGTCCAAGTTGATTTACAGCAGAAACAAACAGCTCATGGAGTTCTTGTGTCCAAACCACCCTCGGCTTCTTCCCAGTCGTCCCGGTTGTTGCATCGTCAGAGGATTCACCGTCATTTGATGAATTTCCGCTCCTCCGTTTTGCGCATTGCAGGTTTCTTTTATCCATTTTTGGGACGGTTCGATTAGCAGCAGCTGCATCCTTAGACGGTTGTAATAAGTTTAACCTGTCGGTAACATTAATGTTAATGTTTTCAATGCCAGGGTGCTGGAATTCTTGAAAGATACGTTGCTTCTTGCGAACCACATGCTGCCAAATGAGACTAACGGATTCCATTCGAACTGGTTTCACCAAATAATCACAAACTCCTTTGATTATATACTGCACAACAACTCGTCGTCTTTCATCTGAAGACATCACTGTGTAAAACATAAACACGACAATTCAAATATATATCTGGACTCAGTTGAAAAAGCGTAGAGTTATTGAAATCAATTGCATGTATTTTGTAACTTACTAACGACAGGCAAGTCCATCTCTGATACAATGATATCAACAAGCTCGAGTCCATCAATGTCAGGCAAATGTGAATCACAGATGACAATATCAATTCTGAATTTGCTTCGTCGAAGCAAAGCAAGCGCCTCACTCGCATTCTGACACTTGGTAACTGAAAATCATTATGAAGTTGGGATCATAAAATCGTCGCAACAAAACTAGTTTTTTCATATAAAAATTATGATCTTCATTCCAAAGGATTGACACTTAGTTATAAACGACAAAACGGATATACAAATAATAATTAACACATAAAATTTCGAATAAACCCATCAAACAGTAATCCAAGACAAGCAATAACTAATTCGCAGTAAACAAAAAGACGTAACATACCTCGGTAAAACAGCTTTCGAAGCATTGTTTCCAACACTAGGAGAGAGGTTCTATCTTCATCAACTATGAGAATTTCCAAATCTGCTGGGAAATCAGCAACGCCATTATCATCAACTATGCTCATTGGACAACTTTTCTGAGTTTACTGATTTTTGAATTTTCTCTTCACATAATAAATGATAGCAAGTAAGAAGCTGAGGGCTCAACCTTTTTATCCATTTTACATGTCGCTGTTTCTGGAAATCAAAGTTTTTATTAGTAAAGCTGAGTGTGAGAGAGAGAGGGTTTTAGTTAGTTTGTTTGGTTTGTTAAGGTGAGGGAGAGAGTGTAATTTAAATTTCAAGAGACCATCCATTCTCCTCCGATAAACTACACGGGTCAGCTCCGCAACTTCCAACCAAAACCGGCGGCTGCTCCTATATAAACTGAACCAATATCCCTTTACTCTCCTTTCGACACGTGTTTTCTACTTCACTAATAACAAGTTCAAAATTCTAAGCTTGAAAATTCTCTGACATTCTCGATTCTTCTTCTCTGTTTTTCTTTTAAATCTTCATTATTTTGACCTTGCAATTCTGATTTTATGTTATCGGATTCTAACTACAAACTTGATTCTCATTTGTTAATGTGGAACCTTAGCCTCCAAACTTACTGAAATCAATCTAAACGAGAGGAGGAGGATGTTGGGCTATATTGAAGAATGTATGCATCTCATCTATAACTTAAAATAAAGGATGTTTGATGATAATATGTTGATATTTGTTATGAAAATAAATATACAGACCATGACTCACAATAAAAATTTCATCAAAAACTTTATAATAATATTCTCATGTATCATTAGTCTATATAATCTTTAGATTTATGACATTAATTTTTATTGTATGTTAAGTTTCATACTTTGGATCATCATAAAATGAGTCAACATTGATGAATGTTTAAAGTAATTTTTTTTAACACGACGTACAATATAAGAAGATGATAGAGTAGCATAGAAAAATATTTCTCTTCCTAAGTCATATAAAGGGTGTATTTAAAAAAATCTAATAGCAGTAGAGTTGAGATTTTTTCTTTTAAGTATACACTTAGTTTTCTCTCTTTTTGAAAAATTTAATTTTCTTTTAGAGAAAATAACTTCAGTGACCAAAAATACCTTATAATATACGATTTTAACCAATTTTTTTTGGATTTGCCAAAATGACCAACTAAATCGCAATGCGATCGATAATTCGCAACGCGATCTCCGGTATCGCAAATCAGTTTCCAGATTCGCAACGCGATTCTGACTATCGCATTGCGATTTTTCAAATTCGCAATGCGATAGTCCAAAATCGCATTGCGATAGCACTGTTCACCGTTGCGATAGCACTGTTCACCATTGCGATAGTGATCAAAATAAGAAGAGAAAACTAATCAATAATGATCTTGAAGGTAGTTTACCTGAAAATAAATATAGTTGAAGGATCAAATCGTGAATGAAGCTGATTGTTATCTATGAGCATTGTTTATCATTCTATCTTAAAGATTTTTAATTATTGAGTAATGTTTTGTTTGTGATGATTATGATGATAGTGAGCATTGTTTATAATGAAGCTGAAAACTGTACAGGGAGACCAACACATGGTTGGCCATATGAATTTTCCATGGACCAATTTGTTGTTGGGTTTGAAGCTAAAACATTCTATGGTTTAGTATTTGACTGGTCTTGATTGATGAGCTATCATTGTCTCTCTGAAATAATGCATCAGTTTTGGTTCTAGAGATGTTTCACTGACATACTGGAAAAAAATTTACTGTATGAAAAAAAAGATTAAATGAGTCTTAAATGCATCAGCATCTGTTAATTAAGAACTAGACCTATTAGAATAATATTAGAAAAAGAAAATGCACTTGGATCCAGATCTTGTGAACAGTACTATCGCAATAAAAAAATCCATTCTTAAACAAAATTAAACTTAAATAAATCCATACACCATTAAAGAGAATTCAAACAAAAAAAATCCCAAGTTTGAAGATTTTTTGCATCATTCTAGACAGAAAACAACAGTAATATCGCAAATTCGCAATGTGAACAATGCTATCGTAACGGTGAACAGTGCTATCGAAACGGTGAACAGTGCTATCGCAATGCGATTTTGGACTATCACATTGCGAATTCTGAAAATCGCAACGCGAATTTGGAAAATCGCAATGCGATAGTCAGAATCGCGTTGCGAATCTGGAAACTGATTTGCGATACCGGAGATCGCGTTGCGAATTATCGATCGCATTGCGATTTAGTTGGTCATTTTGGCAAATCCAAAAAAATTTGGTTAAAATCGTATATTATAAGGCATTTTTGGTCACTGAGGTTATTTTCTCTTTCTTTTATTGGTGTATCATTCATTTCTTTTCTTTTTCGTCTTTATTGATCGACAGTGATACTAATTTTAATGTTAGTTATCGACTGTCGGTATTTCTTTATTGTCATTTTTCTTTCTTATATCACATTTATATTTTCTTTTGTTCCCCCCAATAAGTAGGTTTGTGTCCGACTTGTTACGAGTACTAAATATGGGTGCGGATATATGTGCAAGTATACACAATCGAACAAGTAGTATAGTGATGAGTGAGTATAGTCTCCACAGGGATTGGAGGAAATTGATAAGTTCAATCAAAACATTTTAATCTATCACATAAGTAAAGTTAGTGATGGTATGTACAAATGATAATGTTGTGGCAAGATGAAATGGATGTTGTGGAAATGGAATGATGGTAATATGGTAGCAGATGGAGATGTCGTGGCAAAGTGAATGGAAATGTCGTGGCAAATTATATTGTATTGAGTGCAAACAAATGAAAATGCAAAGGTAAAATAAAATGTAAATATAGGATTCGATTACTAGGACTTTAACTTCCTCACACGACAAACTACTATGAGAATGAGTGATAGGAGTCACTAAGGAAAATCTAAGTTCACTTCTCAGAATGGTCTTACTTCTATGCCTTATCTGTCCGAGAGAGTCTACTAGGGTGCCCTATGTTATCTCTAGTAAGGGACTCGACAGATTGAAGATGCCTTGGAAAAACTGGTTGGCGTAAGCCCATGCAGTGATCCTATTCGTTCAGCTAACATGATATGTCTCGTCAATACCTTTTTGCGACAGCATTAACATCTAACCTATCATTCATGCACAACTCCTTTTAGTCGAATGAAATCCTAGCCTTATCTCTAATGTGGATTCGGCCTAGTTACTATCTAGAACCCCTTGCTTATATGGTTCCTTCCTAGTTTCTCTCGAACACTAAGGATGTGCTACCTAGACATTCTCTCGAATACTAAGTAATCTACTAAGGAATGGCTACTCTTATAGCTCCTACAAACTTAAGGCACTAAGATCTGTAAACAAAATAGAATATAACATGGAAAAACAATCATTCATTAAAACAAATATTAAATATCCAAAATGAACTCCCACCAAATAGGATTAGTTCATGGTAGGGTTCGAAATAAGCAAGCACAAAGCAAGTTAAACCGTTCCTTACAACCCAAATGATAAAATATGAAAGCATATAACAAAGGGAATGAGGAAAAGCCTTCGACGTGCACTTCTGGAGCTTCCTTCGACCACCACAAACTATCCCAGCGAACTAGCTCCTCTCGGACGCCTAGAACACCACTCCCTCTAGCTTGTCAACGGAGAAATGCCACGACAAATCGGATTGGTGGAAAAATGAGAGACCTTTTTCTCTTTGAATTTAAGCTCTAAACGGCATGGGTAAAAGTCTTCTACCATTGTGGTTTCGTCCTCTATTTATATGGGAAGATTTAACCATATGAATTACTGTTGAAATTCCTAGGATACCCCAAATCATACTTAATTCACGTAAAGATTGGGCAGAGCTGGAAGTGGTCCCCCTGGGCAGCTGGCATTGATCCAGCCTGGCTGGCTGAGTACTCGATATGATCCTTTTACAGAAGGTAAATGACAAACAGGATCAACAGCAGGGCGGCGCGGTCCAACAAGATCGATTGTAGCAGCACTGACCCCCTTCAGGAGAATTTCTCGCTCAAGGTTAGAAATCACGTGAAAATAGGGACAGCTAGCTCCAAAAATATATTCTTTCATTTTGTTCGCTCTCGAAATGCCAACCAAGTCAACATTTTCATCTGCTCAACAGTCTTCTTATGTCACGACATTTCTCTTTTTCTTTTCGTTGCTCTCAAATCCTGCACATCACCAAACAAAAACCTTCCCCATAAAGCAGCACTTATTACAAAATAAAATGTCGCGACAAACATAATTCCACCACATGCAACTATATGCTCCTAAATGCATCTATATAATCCTAAATGGGCTCTTAGACAATCAATAACTTAAGCGAAAAGGTCCCAAATATGACCTTTTTACGGAGTTATCATACCCCCAAACTTAAGTTATTGCTTGTCCTCAAGCAATGAATATTATTAAGCAAAATAAAAATATCATGGCAAGTTCAGAAGCAGAATAGTTATATGGGATAAAATCCCATCCCTCAGCATTTGGCTTCAACATGTTTGACTAGTTTGAGAAATCAAGTAATGTCCCATAGGGCAAGATTCTTTGTGTAGGTATGTGCGTGTTTGTATCCAGTCCATGCTTAACAAACCTAAAAATTTTCTAAACAAGCTTTCTCATTTTTCAATGATATTTACAAATTTTACTCCCACGTTGTTTTCTTTCATTAATTTTGCTACGAGGGGAGTCAACCCATCACTCCTACCATCCCATACTCTAGGTGAAAGGGAGAATACCTTCCACCCCCGACTAGTTAGGTAGAGTCATCCCGTGACTACTTTCATTCACTCATATGCCATAGCTGCCATTTATTTATATGCAGTTTCCAGGGAATTCCAAGGCATAGCGGAGTGTCCCTCTACAGATATATTGAGGCATTTATTCACAACTTCATTTGTTTATGCGGGGTTTTCATCATTCAAAGTTTTATGCCACGACATCCAAGAATTCTCTTATAAAAAATTTGTAAGTTTCTCAAGCATGGAAAACATACAATCGTGTATTCAAAGGTTTCAAAGAAGCAAGTCCTAGAGTTGGTTCTATCATCCTTAACAGCCATGTACATTCAATCCTAGCCATCAAGAAT